CTAAACCCTAAACCCTAACTCCCAACGGGAGTTGGGTTTCATGTTCATCATCTTTCCTGGCTCTGCATGTCCAGGCACCTACGGAGATCTCTGTGGGTCATATGCTGTATCGTAGGCGCATACCCGAAATCAAAGGTCCCTCCCAACACAACAGCTTTCAGGCTCCAATCCCAACCCAGAATAATAATAATACTAATAATATTAATATACTAATAATAATAAGAGTGAACATGAAAAAAGTGAAGAATCAAATCTCGAGCCACAGCCAGTCATGGATCAGCGCACAGAGGCCCGGATGCGGGCGAGATGAGACAGCGGCTGTGGAAGCGGAGTTCCAATTCGACCGGGTTTTGGTTTCCTGCGGCTGCCAGGCACGCATGTAGAAGTTCAGGGCGAGTGTCAAGTGACGTTGCAAGTGCCGATGTAGGTAAGAAGTACGCTTATTGCATGAAGCTTGAAGCGTTACCCCGAATATCAACGGCTTTTAAGCCCCGTTCGCCTGCAGGGCCCTAAGCCCCAAAACCCTAAACACCAGATGCTGTATGACCATGCAAGCTGCAGTTCTTGGACTGGAGCCATGGGTCCTGCATGCCGACACGTGAATAGTAGTTAGTTGAATGTCTTGCCAGGAAGGTAGCTGTGTGCGTTTCGACTCTGATTTGGTTGGGCTTCGTCACTTGGGGTTTATGTGGGTTCGGATTCTAATCAGCGTCGGTGAAGAAATTTGATGCCGTCCGGCGCAGCACACGGCTTCCCCCTGACGTTGTCTGCTGTTCGGGATGTGTAGTTTTGTAGTTTGACCGAGATTCTAACCTTGCGATGCTGTATGGCCATGCAAGCCGCAACAATCATGTCTCTAATTGGCCTTTACCACACAGAAATGGAAGAAGGGTGGATAAAGCAAAAACATGCGCTGCAACTCCCTCCCCTAATTATGACTCCCCCCTCCCCCCCCGAATTCTGGGCCCTCCAATGACCAATGTTCCCGCAACAAAGAAAACATGTGTGTGTGTGTATATATATATGTACATCCATAGAGAAGTATTAATAAATATATATATATACATACGTAATGGCACTGTGTGAGTTTTGGTTGGTCATGGGGACGTGATTACGGCTGGACTGAGGCTGCATGGGTACAGCGGAAGCTGAACGGCTGCGGTGGGTAATGGAGCTCAGGGAGGACTTCTCGGTTCAGGGTTTTGGGACAACGCGGACAAGCAAGCCTTGGATTCCCCGAATCCCCTGATCCGCGAATCCCCCAAGAAACAAAACAGGACATTTTGCCGGAAGCTTCACGCTCGGAACGGCTGGCCGGCCCCAGCATTGGCGGGAGCTCTTCGGGCAGCTGGGTCCACACTTGTGGCCATGAACAGGTTCAGGCTTGAACGTATAGGGAAACAGGTCCCACTCGTAATAGTGCCCCGGCCCTCCCGCATACTAGATTGTCCCCCAATGCCTTTATTACTACGTGGTGTGGGGGCATCATGAAAGGAGAGGATCACGCTTGGGGACCTCGAGATATATGTGGACTATACATGGATTACGGGTGTCTGTATTGCTTTTACTGAAGAACGTCCCGAAGGATACCTATCAGATTTTCTGCCGCCCTTGCATTCCTGAGTCACAAAAACTGCCTGAAGGAGATGGGGGCTCCCTGCTTCAGGTTCCTGCTTGCAGTAGAACTTGACCTAATTAGATCTTCCGTACAAAGCGGGCCTACAACACCGCCTAGGAATTGTGCTTCTTCTGCGCAAGCAGCTGCTGGGCTATGCACAAATATGAGGCATCATAGGCTTCGTACGTGGCATTGAGGGTTGCTGGGTGCAGAGAGATTTTTCCAGGCAGTGACGCATTGCCTGGGTTGAGGTTTTCACGGTTTCTATGAAGTTCTCCGTGCTTCGTAGCCGGGCTGTATTGGTTTCCTCGAAACAAATTTTGCCAGGCGGAATCTCCCAGCAATCTCTGAATATTCGGCGTTTCAACCACGTGCCCTGAGAGATAGATCCTTGCATTGTTGCGTGTTTGCTAGAATAGGAGTTGTTCAGACTAAACGGACGTACATATATACCGTCATATGCAAAGATCCTTACGGGAGTCTTAGGAGTAGAATGGCGAATGAGAAAAAGGAACATGACGTCGACACCACGACTTGCGTCCTACACAGCCACCGTTAACCCTAAACCTAGAGCCCTAAATTTCCTAAACCCTACCCTATGTAGGCTACATTCACAGGCTTTAGGGCCCAATGTAGGTGTTCTTTGTATACTTTGATTTAACCTAGGTCTATCTCTAGTTTTAAGTTCATTCTTTAAATGAATGCCCATTTGATTCTTCAGTATTGAAGTGGTATCGTTATACATTTCTTTTACTTGTACCATGTTGCGATATAGTATGTTCCAGCTTTTTCGTCTTTTGTCTATATATATATATTATACACTTCTCTATATGTGGAGATATAGATATATATACATATATCTATATAACCCATATGCCGCCCCAGGTTCAAAAGCCATGCCCCCGTACATCCCTTCATACGCCTTGAGACAGGACCAACAGATTCCCCTTCATGTCCAGTAGCTTTTCCATTATATTTGGATCCTGATTAGTGTGGGCCCCACCCAAACAAGAAGGGGAGCCCCTATTAAAAAAAGGCCTCAAAACAAATTGGGGGTCTGGGGGATCCTATGACTCCTATGAAAAGCAATAAAGGAAGAGGGATCCTTCGGCTCCTATTGAATTCATAAGGGCTTGCTCGGTCTAGCTTTCCAGAGAATAGGAATGGCAGAGCCTTCAGCCTTTGCGTTAAACGGCCTGGTCTTGAAAACCAAGTAAAAGCAATTACAATCTGATTAAAATCATAGAAAATCTTTCCAAAACCAATTGGCAAGGACTTTGATCAAAACTTTACCAATTTTTCCGGCCAACAAAAAAATACTTTATTGGGACTCCCCAAATCGAATAGGGGGTCCAGAATAATTGTTGAATAATACTTCATTGGGGAACCCCGCACTACTCGGGATTCGACATTATTGTGGTACTATCCCTACATAACCCACAAATATGATATATATATATAGAGAGAGAGAGAGAGACATACATACATACATATCCTATCATAATGTAGTAGTTTCCGTTTTCTTTCCCACTAATGCCTATGGGCAACTATCTTTCCAGTGCCAGACCATCCCTTGAGCTCCCCCCAAAAAGGGATTACATAGAGGTATATCGGGGCATGGAAAAGCAAATGGAAACTACTGCTTTATCCAGGGTTTAGGGTTTAGGGTGTGAATCTTAAGCCCTAAACCCTAAATGAGGTCGATCAGTGTCCTGTGGGCAGACGTAAAAGTCCTCTGGTTGTATAAAAACCCTAAATGAAACCCAGGATTCAGCATCGTTGGGATCGACCCTTCAAGGAGGAAGCCTCCTTTGGCTTACCTCGAGACTGGAAGCGTGAGGACAGGAGTCTTTTCTGCATGAATTTGGGGGAAAGAGCTTACCCTATTTAAACTCTAAACCCTAACCCCCAAACCCAGGCTTACTCATAATTGCAAATTCAATGTAGTTCTCGCGCAAATATAGCTGCCACTTAGAGCGCAAGTATGACCATGTCAGGAGACTTTAGGCTTCAGGGTTTAGGGTGCTTATAATCAGATTAGAACTATGGTTGTGATTGGGTTCTGATTGCCCTGACCTTCCAAGTAGGTCCCATCTGCGACTTTGTGGGATGAATTTGCCCCGTCAAAAGAGCCAAGGTTGGAAATTCTGGGGTCCTTATCTACCTATTCTGTGGTACAAGGTACCTCATAAATCCCAAATTGGCAAGTTAAGGACCTATAGTCAGGACCCAGGAAATATTTACGGGTCCATGTCCGGGCATTAGTGTTAGGACCTTTGATATGAATCATACTGTACTGGGTGGATGGTTATAGTGCTGACAGTCCTGAGAACTATTTCAATCACGGTCCTGATAGCTGTCGTTACATACCAGGTCGGGCCCCCACCCAGTAATAGTGGTACACGAGGAATAGGTAAGGACGTTAATATCTTCACCGTTATCACTCGTGGTCACTATTAGTGGGTGGGGGCCTAACTCAAATTATATACTTAATATCGGGCTCAATGAAGATGCACCCAGAAAAGTTTGGTGCTGCAGGCTCCCGTCAGAGGAATCAGTCGTGTTGGTTGCCAAAGGTATACATGGGCATGCTATGTGAGAGTCTTCAGTGTACGAATGCTTACATGGCCTTCTAAACCTGCAGAGAAAGCCACGGTGATATATTGAAATCCCTTAATAAGCCCATTGTAACTATGGCGTAACACATTCCAAGTAGGTTACCTAACCCGCCTTATGTGAGATGGACCCCCTTGGACAGAGATACACCTACCCTCGGCCGAGGGTTTTGAGGTTGACAGGGGCATATGGCTTCGCAAAGAAAGGGACACGTCAACTGAAGGACATCCTTTGTTCAAGCTGCATCCTTAGTCAAGTGCATAGTGATGTGCGGTTGAACCGTGGCCCGAAACGCTGCGCTGCTAGTTTAGATGTTTGTCCTCATCATGGCAGCTTTTGAGCCTTTCATGAGCAAGTTTGGGAAATCCACGTAGCAGGCGCTACACTCCTCAAAGCGCACACAATATCTGCAAGGACGTTCCTTGTCGGCTGCCTGACGTTGTACGTCTACAGCTTGTATATCATAACACGCTACTCCCCCAACTTCACTGTGAGATTGCTGGCGACGCCGATGCGTCAACCGTCCTTTTTCTTTCTGTTCCAACATTTGGAGCGCTTGGCGACCATCAAAAAAGGTGTGATTTGTTTCTTGGGATCATGGAGAACAAAATGGAAGCTACCATTATAGGGAGTATACATAGAGGTTTTATAGGGATAACGGAAGAGAAAATGGATGCTACTATTATTTAGGGGGTATATATAGAGGCTTTATAGTGATAATGGAAAACATGGAAACCCTAGACCCTAAATCGTTCAAGGAATCTTCCGGACGAGGATGAAGTGGAACTGCCCCGCGCTCTGAACATCCGGCGGCTTACGGCTCAAAGCCTCGAAGAAGTGGCAAAGGCCACCTCAAAATCAGATAGTTACAGCTTGGGTACTGCCCCCCCTTAGCAACAGCTGGATAATAAGTATAATATGGTTATATATAGCCCTTAATAGGACCCCTAATATGGACTGTTACTGGGTGGGGGCAGTACCGAAGTTACAGCAGTAATTCTTAGTATTCATACATAAACAACCACCTCCTGGTATTAGAAACAGGAGTTAGCAGTTTTAGGTTTTTACAGAAAATGCTAATGGCAATGATGATGTCGATGTCTGCCATAGAAAGATGTAAATACGCATGTGCAGATCGCTTGACATATTGACATAATGACGGGGTTGCGGATTCCATATGTCGGAGATTATAATGGTACCCCCCCCCCTCCCCCCAGATTTAGAACCCTATCAGGCCTTGTGAAGCGCCAAATCGTTTCTAGGAGCTCCTCAAACCCAGGAGGGAGGGGGGGGGTCATTTTTGTTTGGGGGGTGGTGCTGTTGTAACCTCTTAATGTGGTGTGGTTTCCAAAGCTCGGGGCTGCAATGTTTGGATCGGGCTACAGGATTTGGGGGTTTATGTTGAGCAAATTATATCTGGAAACTATCATACGGGGCCTCTTTACGGCTTAGCACGCAGGACTGCTGGTTCTCGGAGCGGGCATAGGAATGGTTTATCAACCTTGGGCTACAAGTCCACAAGTGATATACAGTGGGCCCGGACGTTTATAAATGTTAATTGGGAGCCCTAGGCTCTAGGGTGAACTTAAAGCTGCAAACCCCAAACTTCCAGTCCTAAGGCTAACCCCAAACCTCCACGACGGTCTCGGTGCTCTACATTCCGCTTGTATGGCCCACAGTAGCTGTACTTGAGCCCTAAGAGAGGGAGGTGCAGGGTGTGACCTTGCGGATGCTTTCCGTGAACATTACCCGTTAGCCAAGCCCTGTGCCCCAAAGCGCCAACCCACAAGCGTCGAATCCTGGCAGGCCTCCGTACTCGTCGTTGCAATGCGCTATCCTTGGTGCACGGCTTGCGAGGAGAAGGACAAGGCCTTCGTGAAGGTGCGCTTGGGATGTTGTCTTTCTGGGCTTTGAAGCGGCATTTAGGGTTCAGGGTTTAGGGTTCAGGGTTTAGGTTTCAGGGTTTAGGGTTTGGGGAGCAAGGTTTAGGGTTTAGGGCATTTAGGGCGCAGGATTCTTTTATTGTTGCTTGCCATCTTTCAAGTAGCGCATGCGGCTATCCCACAGGGCTCAATAGCTCCTCATTTCATTAGCAAGCCTAGTATGGGAGTTCCTAAAATTTTTACATATACAATCCTTAAGAGGGATCCCTAAAAGTACTAAAATTCTTCAATTTTATGTCCCTTGCCCAGGCCCCTGTTTTCAGAAGCTCCCTTATGAATTCAAGTGTTTTTCAAGTAGCTGGGCAATTTCTACTGGCCTCACCCGACCTCACAACAAAATGGTGGTTTATGTGCAAGTAGCCCCAACGTGGCTTAATTTCAGGTTCAGGAAGTATTGCAAATCTAAGGTTGGAAGTATGGACCTCTAACAAGGGCCCTTAGGCTTTTTGAGGGGATTCTAGGGACCCTTAGAAGTACGTGAAGGGTATATAGTAGGTATATAGAGATCCCAGGGTTAAGGGCCTATATTTAGGGGCCCGTGGTTTCAACCTTATAGGCCCCCTACACCCTAAACTCTAAGTTTCATGTCGGGTTCGGAAATTAGTGTGAAGCGGCCAGATTTTAGGGTATGTGGCCCTACGGCAAGCTTCTGCCCTGGGTACATGGCTTAGGTTGTAGGGTTAAGGGTGTAGGTGTAGGGTCAAGAGTTTAGGATTTCGGGTTTAGGCTATCCATAGAGTAGCTAGTCATGGTCCGCAATTCAGATTCTGAGCATTGAGCCCCGGCCCTCAAGCTCTGAACCCTCACCCGTAAACCTCTGAACCCTCAACCCTGAAACCCAAAGCCCGAAACATACCTATACTTAACTGCAAGCACCTTCAGGAGCGCCAGAGCGAAAGAGGGGAAAGAAATGCTGAAGGCCTTGGGATCCTGGATTTGTGTTGAGGGTTTCGAGCTTAGGGCCGGGGATTTCAGAGTCAGAGGGACTTAGTATCAGAGGGTGTTAAGTATGGGCCCCTAATGTGGGATTTTAGGCCATTTAGGAGGATCCTAGGGAATCTTAAGGGTACTTATAGGGTATATAGTAGGTATATAAGGACCCCAGGGTTAAGGGCCCATACTAGGGGCCCATGGTTTCAACCTTAGAAGTGAGTTCCTGATGGTGATAAGTGTGGCTCTTGCAGGTCTGATAGTGTACGTGCTAAGCGTCCCTGACCCTCCAAATGGTAGTTTCCCAAAATAGGGGAACCCCAATATAGACCCCAAAATACTATAGTCCCTTTTATGGGGACCCCTAACAACGTACCCCTAATTTTGGGAAACCCTAAACCCTAAGTCCTAATTCCTAAGCCCTATAAAACCCCTATAAACCCTTTTACAGGTACTCCTGATAGTCCCTGACCCTCCAAATAGAGTTGAGTACCGAGCCCTAAACCCTAAACCCTAAACCCTGAGGGTACCGAGTTTAGTGAACTGGGCTTGGACTCGGGGATCCCGAGTTCAGGGCCTTGGGGATTTCCCAGAGGGCCCATGTACCCAATAATTAGGTCCCCTTTAAAAGGGATATATAGGGATATACAGGGTTTAGGGTGTAGGGTTAAGGGTCCATGTACCCAATAATTAGGTCCCCTTTAAAAGGGATATATAGGGATATACAGGGTTTAGGGTGTAGGGTTTAGGGCCCATGTACCCAATAAGTAGGTCCCCTTTAAAAGGGGTATATGGGGATATACAGGGTTTAGGGTGTAGGGTTTAGGGTCCATGTACCCAATAATTAGGTACTTGGGCTTTGGGTAATAGGAATATCATAGTACTGGTTTTGGGTAAGTATATGATTATTAGGTACTTGGACCCTTAGGCTCTAGGGTTTAGGGTTAGGGCTGAATCTTTAGGTTTGTTGATGCCTGATACTGTTACGCTGTTACGAGTACTTATTTTTCTGGTCCTTGGCAGGCACTAGGAAGTATAGTTGAGTGTAGTCGAGGTTGTCTCAAATCCAAGGCCGTAGAGACATTTGGGCCCTCATGATCATAAAGGCAATTCCTAAGCCTAAACCCTAAACTTTGTTTTGGGTTTGTGACGGTTCATCGCATCAAGAAACTCCTGCTTGCTGTGCTCTGGGTGTGCAAGGCTGCATGGCATCATTGTGCAATGACCTGTGAGCGAGGTCTAGAAATTGTATGAATTATAGCCTAAACTCCTTAAAGAGGGTTATACAGGGGATTGTTTAGGGGACTATTATAGGGGTTATTAAGGGGGATACTTGGAGTTTAAACTATAACCCTTGGAATCCCCTATATAATCCCAGTTTCCATTTCATTTTCCATTTTCTTTTCCATTTGATTCTCCATTAGATTAAAGGGGGATACTAGGAGTTTAGACTATGGCTCATATGCTCCAGTGAAGTGACATGGAACTCCCATACAAATGGTAGTTTCCCAAAATAGGGGGACCCCAATATAGATCCCCAAATACTATAGTCCTTATTATGGGGACCCCCAAAATGGTACCCCAATTTCAGGAAACCCCCAAATCCTGTAGAGACGTTCTTGTGCAGGAACCTGGATGTGGTTCGCGAACTGTGTGAGAGACGGTCAGGCTAAGCTTAAGTGCAGCCACGACTCATGATAAGCTATACCCGGCTTTCACCAAGGGCCCCAAGGATACGTCCTCAAAAGTCATCGCTCCCCTCCCCCAAAGACAGCGGGACGGATGACTTTGCAGATGTACTCCTGGTTTCTGTCATGATACGCTACTTCAGGAAGCAGGCAAAGGTTTCAGGCTAAGATCTCAGACAACCAAAGACAAAGCCCTAAGACGAACGGCCCCCCAGACCCTGACTCCCCTACTTGAAGTTTCAGGGTAACTGTAAACCAAGTAAAAATATACTTCTACGGTAACCCAATTACAGCCCCCTAAGTACCCTGCATGGATAACATACTCCCCCCTAGAACTCTGGCTTCTATTTTCTTTGCCGTGTGATTCGCCATTGCAGTCGTTTCCATGTCTTTTGCCAGGGTATGGGAAATATGGACTGTAGCTCACATAATTCCCTAAACCCTAAACCCCAAACTCCAATTTTAATCCCTACAGTAAAGGGAAAACACCAAGCCCTGAACCCAAACCCACAACCTCAAACCTTAAGCCCCAAACCCTAAACCCTAAGCCCCAAACCCTAAACCCTAAGCCCCAAACCCTAAACCCTGAGCCCCAAACCCTAAATCCTAGGCCCCAAACCCTAAACTCTAAATCCTAAACCGCATCTTCGTGGACTCGTGACATGGAGAAAAGGTCCTATAAACAAAAAACCCTAAACCGAGCTGCTTTGGGGCCAGGTGGTGAGGACGGCGAGCAGGCCTACCGGGCCTTTCCCCCCCGAAAAATCCCTCGCCATTAGGGTTCTAGGGATGAGGGTTTTAGGTTTTAGGGTTCTAGGGTTCAAGGGTTCAAGGGTTTTAGGGTTTAGGACTCTAGACTTGACAATTCTTGGTGGGAAATATGCGAATCCATCATCTATAATGTAGAGATGATATCTTCATTGTATTCCCATATTCCCTACTAACCGCCACTGAGGTTAGGGTTCCAGAGGTTAGGGTGTATCCCTTGACCCTCTCTAAACTGTACTTGTGGTAAACACACCCAGTTTGCTCTCTGTAGAGCTTAGTGTCTTTTAGCCCCCACCTTAAGCAACCCCAAACCATAACCCTAAACCCTAAACTCTTAAACCCCAAACCCTTTTAGCCCCAACCGTAAGCAACACTAAACCCTAAACCCTTAACCCCCAAACCCTGTTAGCCCCAACCGTATGCAACCCTCAGCCCTCAACTCTAAACTTTTTTTTAGCACCAACAGTCTACAGTACTGTTGATACACATGACCATAGTATACTATAATACCATAACTGTACTATAATACCATAACTCCAAAAATTTAAGGTACTTACTTTCATGCAGTATTTTTTAGCATCCACAGCATGACGTCCATGGTTTAAGGCTCTGTTTCATTTTGCGGAAGGGGGGTTGGTGGTGGGGGAGTGTGAAAGCCTTCATCAAGGCTGGAAATCTTTCTGGAAGCTCATGTCAGGACGGTGACTGCCCACAGCTCTTCTGAAGCGGCAATAGTACTGTTCATAAATCCTGGTCATCCCACTTGCGGACTCACACTTAAAAGCTACTGAACTTGTGCCGAAGGATGTTTGCCGCCAAGTGTACCACATTCTTGCAATTGCAGCTGTTGCTTTTTGAAGTATTGTGGCGGTTGATTCTGATTCCAAGCCATAGGCCCAAACCTCTAAACTCCAACCCCCAGCCCCTAAATCCTAAATCCAAAAACACGTAAACTCTAAACCCTGAATCCTAAACCTTAAGTCATAAATCCAAAGCTGAATTGCTGAAGCTATTGCGTCTTTGACGCGCGAATGGCAAAATTCCCAATCGCAAGGATCAGACCTAGGGTTTCAGGTTTAGGGGTTCAGGGGTTTAGGCTTTGGGGTTAAGGGCTTATGGTTTAGGGCTTAGGATTTAGGGTTTATTACCATTATTTGTTTTGAAACTCAGAACTTTTGAGCTTCATGAAATTTTGGAACCTTGAGTAATGGTAACTTTATATGGGCTTCAGGGTTCAGAGCTGATGGTTGAGGCTTTCGAGTTGTGAGGTTTAGGGTGTAAATGTCTTAGAACTCAGCTCCTCCTAGATCTTCCATTACCTGAGAAAGAGGCAGCCCTACTGAAAGAAATCTGCACCCCGGGTAGAGGACCCAGACGGCTGCTACTTCTGGAAGAAAGACCGCAGGGAGCACGAACCCTAAATCCTAAACCCTGGAGCCCTTAACCGAAAATTCAGGCGCCACCCTAGGCTCCAAACTCCCAAATGTTTCTCTCTAAGCCCTAAACCCCAAGCCCTAGTTGGCGGTCAAGGGGATTCAGC